AATTTCAATTAAATTTTATTTGTATCACTTTACACAGAGTGGTCGGAGACCTCAATACACGAAACACAGAAACAAAACGTTTCTAATATTGTAAGGTTAGAATAATTGTGTTCCCATGTTTCATTGTATTTTAAAGGAAAAAGGGATTCAGCCCAAATCTGCCCTTAGATTTTCATTTTAAAATTCTAATTGCATTGCAGCAATAATTCGCCTTAAAAACAACTCAAATGAAGTTGATTAAAATGCAAGTAATTCACACTCTTTGAATCCTCGATGTTAACTGACAATCCACACTAGCTCCAGGAGTTGATGCTTCAACCCTGCTCATGAGTTTTTCCAATCCAGCCTATGACCTCACACTAAAATCTGTCTGTTCATTTCCTGTACTCTGCTGCCTCACTGGGTAAATCCCTTTGAATTTATATGGGTGATTACAGACCAAATTTACATTCACAACTACACACATTAATGGTGGTTTGAATTTCAAATGAAGTACAGCATTGTTTCAAGTGCTGAAGGGATTTCACTCTCTCTCTCTTTCTCTGACTCAACAATTATTATGATTACTTCTACTAACCACTACTAACTGATAGACCATTACTTCATTAATATCACTCTTGTTATTCTCATTATAACAACCAACCTGACAGTCACTGTGTCTGCTCATTGTGTGAACTGTTGGGTTTCTCTATAATATTGTAAGCTTAAAAAAAGTGGCTTTAAAGTGACTTCAGATAATGTCTGTTGCGATTTGGTGCGATACTAGTAAAATCAAATTAAATAAAATTGAATTTCCCTATTCAAAAATACTTATTTGAAACTATGTGGCTTTTATCAAATTTCATCACTACACAAAACATTACATCTATTATTCAATTTCCAATGCTTTACAGTGGTTACTGCAATAATAATTCGGTCAACTCACTGAAAAGTCTGCATCCTCAGCTCTGAGATGATCAGCGATGTACTGAACCCCCTCTATGGCCCGTTGCATAGCTGGGGAAATGGTTGGAACTATGGTGTCCTGTTGGGTGCTTGCATCCTTGGTGAACTCTGCTGTGAGAGTTTGTGATCTGTGGTGATCTGTTGGGGCCCGCCCCGCGAACCTGATGACCCCTGACCCTTCATCATGCAGACAGCAGTACTGGAAGCTGCGGGAGCGACAGTGATGCCCAGCTCGCTGAGAAAGCTCTGTCTGGTGGTTACACATTTCCTCTACGCTGACGGAGCGGCCGTTTGGAGCCAGTGTATTCAGTTCTCCCCTGGATAGGCTGTGAAGTGGGCCTAGCGGTAAAGATGGCGGCAAAGATAACTGGGAAGAAGACAAGCCTGTGGAGTTGTGTCCACGTAGGAGTTGTTTGTCTGAGAGATCTGAATATTGGCTGGATGTGGACCGGCAGAAAATGTTGCCTTTCAGTGGGTGACCATCCTCGGTATGGCCCTCAGGAGGAGAAGATGGGGGAGAAGGTGAGCACACAAGGATGCTGGGACTTTCAGGTGGAGTCTTTGGCAGCGTATTCTCTATCTGTCCCATTTGTCTCAATCCTGTCTCTAACCCGGCCCAAAAGGCCAGCGAGTTGCCCGTTGCAGATATCGTTGTTGGACGGTGCATCATCTCGATAAGCTTCTTGCAGTTCTGCTTCGCTGTGCCTGGTGGACGCTTCATGAAGAGCACGCGAGGTACAAAGTCCAAGAATACTCTCCGCACCCAGTGAGGCATGCCATGGGTTTGTGGCGAGCGATGATGTACATTTAACACAAAGACTGTAATTACGATGGAGAGGGTGACAAAGACCATGGTAAACAGCAGGTATTCACCGATCAGTGGAATCACCAGTGATGTAGACGGTATAATCTCAGTGATCAGCAGGAGGAACACTGTGAGAGACAGTAGCACCGAGATACACAAAGTAATCTTCTCTCCACATTGTGACGGCAAATAAAACACCAGCACAGTCAAACAGGAGATGAGCAGACAAGGGATGATGAGGTTTATAGTGTAGAACAGCGGAAGCCTCCGGATGATGAAATAGTAAGTGATGTCTGCATAGATCTCTGTGCAGCACTCGTACTTTTTGGTATTGTACTTGCCCACTGCATTAATGATGACCCACTCGCCACTCTCCCAGTAGTCCATCTGGTCCACATCACTATCCATGTTGATCAGATCGATCTTGGCGCGGTCGTAGGTCCAAGAGCCAAACTTCATCTTGCAGCTTTGCTGGTCAAAAGGAAAGAAAGTAACATCTATGCTGCATGAAGACTTATAAATTGCTGGTGGCATCCACTTTATCCGACCATCATGGAACAGATGTGCTTTCGTCAGGTGGGTCACTGCAAAGTCGCCGTCCGCACTGCAGATGAAGAAAAGCACATAAAAGAGATAGAAACGTAAAAACACTGTCATCAAATGTATTTTGCATCTTCAGCATAATTCAGTAAAAATTTAGATACATGATACGATACCTGATACATGGCCTGCAATAACAATAACATCACGATACAGCAATTCTGCCATCAACAATATTATGCAAGACAATTATAAAACGCTACATCAAGATTTTTTTAAACTGAAAAATACAAAATGCCCCTAATGATGAGGTAAAGTGCAGGATTTGTGTATTTATTCACTACAATATGGTGTCAGTTTCACAGTGTGACACTGGATGTCCTCATGTGCCATCATACCAATTTAAAATAGCCATAAACTGGCTGTCATTTAGTTATTATATCTATATAAAGTAAACTATATAAAATAAAACTAAATATCGATATATAGCGCCAGCATATCAATAATCATATCAGATGAGTCAGGACAACGATATATATTGATACTATACATGCCTGCAGTAGTTCAATTAATTCAAAGAAGCATTAGTTGTTATTGCATCTGATGATGACACTGCTGTAAATATCTGCAAATACCAAGCACATAAAAGATAGGACGCTGCAACAATTCATATTAATAAGTAATGGTAAACAGCAAAGCTATTGTTTTGGTGCTACAGAAGAAATATGGGAGGTAATCACTGTCATTGTAAACTGTCAGTAGTGAGTGACAGCTGCCTCTTTCCCTCCCTTTCCTCTCATCTTGATTTCATCTGATTGATCCCTGTCATGCTTCTAGCTCAGTCATTATAGACCGGAGCACCACCTATTGCTCTCTTCTACAGCTTATCATCTAACCCCCCCATCTAATTAGTTGTGATTAACTTAAATACATTCAATACATCAAGATAACAGCTAACGATCACCCTGTGCTGGGTCGACAGTTCATTCTGTTCTGCCCTTATCTGTTGTGGTTAACATCTACCTGCCTGGAATAGTCCTCTGGTTTCCCTTCTAATCATTAAATGTGGGCTTGTGTTTTGACCTGGTGAAGACCACAGATAGGCGACATAACACACAAGTAAGCCACGTCACTAAGCATCATGGCCAATGCAATGAATGCAAATTGTCTTTTAGTCTATACAGTATCAAATCTTTGTATAGTTACAAATTCTAAATTTAAGTAACTGCTTATAAATGGTTTGTATTTATATGGCACTTTCCTAGTCTTGATGACCACTGAAGGTGCTTGACAGTACAGTTTGCCATTCACCCACACACATTCACACTTTTTTGTTTCTATAAGTGGCAATTTGATGTGCTGAACAAACTGGATGTTCAGCATCTTGCTCAAGGACACTTCTGTATGCAGATGGGGGAGACTGGGATCGAACTGACGACCTTCTGGTTGGAGGATGAACGCCCATCCACCTGTTAACCTTTTGAGGGTCGTGGGGTGATCTGTAGCCAATCCCAGCTGACACAGGGTGAAAACCAGGGTACAACCTGGACAGGTCCATCGCATGGACACATACAGAGACAAACAACCATTCTACCACCGTCTATTTGGACTGTGGGAAGAAGCCACAGTACCTGGAAAAAACCCACACAAACAGACAACATCTAAACTCCATGCAGACAGACCCCGGCTAAACTGGGATTAGAGGCAACAGTGCTACAGTGCTTTGCTCACACTGTGCTTTTGTGCGGTGCTGCCCTGGATGAAATAAGTTAATACAGATTGTACAATTATGTTTCTACAATGACGTATGAATCTGAGAGTTGTATTGGCCATTTCTGTCTTACCTGTTTCTCATGCAGTTTTTCATATTAACTCATTTCCCTTACTTAGAGTAAAATAAACGCAGATGAACCTGAGGCACTCACACTGCATGCACTTGATCTGAGGCTCCATTTGAAACACACCCAGTTACATTTCATCTTCTAATTACCTGCCTAATGTATTACTTTGTTCCATCCCAAGTTTTGTTTGTAACCAGATCCATTAAGACTGACCTTATTCACATCTATTTCAGCTAAATTACTTTATGACATTGGCACAGGACAGGATGTCTGGCACAATAACAGAATCTTCACGTTTTCCCTCTAGTCATGCCATCTGTCAGAATAAAACCATCAGAGTTGGAGGATTGGTTGTTCTGTGTAAGTATTCTTTCCTTGAAAATGACTACATTTAAGATCTCAGCAACCACTCTGTGTGCCTGTGAAAAGGAAACAAGCCATACAAGCTACTGATGCCGAGCCTCACTTGTTGTAGAGGACAATGTCTGGCCTCCAGATGATCTCTGAGGGAATACGGATGGAGGTGACATTCTCATATTCCTCCGGGTTCCAGCGCAGTTTGTAATCATTCCATTCCTGTGGGAGAACATTAATCATGTTTACATACTGCAGCTTTATATTGGACTACTGTATCTCTAGCATGCATTTTGTCTCTCATAATTACATACTTGCTTGACCCAGACATTTGTTGTCATCATCTGGTTCTTCTCGTCCTTATTTCATGTAAACAGGAGAGAAAATCACTGTGACATTTATCTTCCTGGCTGCACTTCATAATTTCTCATTTTCTCATGAGTTATTTTTTTATTGTTGCCACCTGGAGTCATGAATCAGTTATAAAACAAATCAACAGAGATTAGTTGTGTAAATACACCAGGACAGAAATATAACACAGTGCACCATGCAAAAAAAAACCATTCCTGCTCTGTATCTGTTGCTTTGCTGGCTAGCCATTATCTCCGGCTCTTCCATATTCAACATTCACAATCTAACACAGAGCAGTCAGTGAAAACTCTCAACTTCACCCAGAGCTGCCTTTCGCTATATAAGGCATGGGAAGCAAGCACAGTTACCTAATTGTGTGTCAAAAAATCATCCCTGCAGTATCGCCAGCTGCACACATTTACTCTTAGAGCCGCACCAGGAAATTTTGCGTGGCTCCAAATGGTTGTTTGGAGCCACAATATGGTAGCCAGAGTCGTTGTAAGTGGTTTTACTTCAGTCAACAGAAAAACTAAAACATAATTTGTGTAAAATGAACATATTTCAAACTCCAGAGACTCTGTAAAGATACAATTTTAATTAAGTTAAGAGGTGCTGCGTCTGCTTTGTTTTTTAGGAGACAGCTTTGTCAATTATGGATACTTGACAACTGAATTTAATTTGGGAAAATAATTCAGTCTCTCCTGTTGTGGTTTCATTTCCGCTGATGGTTGATGTGTCTATCTAAATGTATCTCTCATGCCTGGTACAGCTTTGAGCTGGTGGCTATTGTGATCATATTAATTCTGTTGCATATACCAGAAACGTTTCAGTTAAAAATGTATAATTTACACATATAGTACCAATCCAACATAATAATCTCCTTTCTAATCAAACAAACATCTCTCTGTCTGTATTTGGAATGCATATCTCCTGAGCAGTTCATTTACTCAGCTTCACACTCTGCATGTGCATTAAATCTTCTGAGAAGGTAGAGTGCCGAGTTTGGTGCAATTTGGACATGAAATATGTTCAATATTAATGATTTCAATTAACAGGCGACCAGCACTCTGTAGCAGTCAGGGGGGGCGGGAGAGTGTGCCTTCAGTCTGTGGTCATGTCTACGTCCGCAGAGAAACTACAGCTGGGCTGGACGCCAGATCATTTTGATAATTTTATTAATTTGATTTTGCAATATCGATTGATCTCTGTCATGGCAACAACATTCATAGAATCACTCTCTATTTGGCCAGTTTTCAAAAAAAGGTAAAAGCGCAATGTTTGTTTTGCTGCTGCAATGCTTTATATCAAGCTGAATTTGAAAGCTTTTATTTTTAAACATAATGAACTGACAGGTCTCTGAAAAAACTGACATTCAATGTATGAACAGTAAAATAATTAAGTTATTAATATGTATTAAAAACATTGAATGTAAACTCTTTAATGCAAATAAACCTGGTAGGATGAACACAAGGTTTTCTAACTTCACTCTGCACCATATAGACTGTTTATAAAAAGCTCTGCACACAACGTCCAGCACACAAACAATAACTGTTTGAGGAGGACTCAGTAATGACAAGGAATAACTCTGAAGTAGCTGCAGAGCTGTATCACAGGAGAAGAGAACAACCCATTCCAAACAGGCAGGTTTAGAACAGTGTGACGACCCCCTCCACCCTCACCTGGACACTAGGTGTCCCTGTGCTTCATTCCTCTGAGCTGTAGGTGGAGGTGAAGTCAGCTGCATCAGTGCACACCTGAGACCGATGTGCTCTTCCCTTTCAACACCTTGCCTTCGTTTATGCCTCGCTCACTGTAAGGGACAAGGTTGGCGCTCCCTGACTCGTGACGGCAGCATTGCTTTTTGTTTTGCTTACAGACATACATGCTTTACATTACTGACCTACTGATTAATACACATTGTGTTGAATATATTATTTTGTCTGTGACAACAGACACTGTAATAGTATCATAAGTAAACCTTTAAGAAGATATGGTGTGTTTCTGATGTTGGTAAACAAGTTTGTGAAGTTTTACTCACCACATCAATAAGCTGGGCAATAGAAAGGCCAAAGTGGACCATCACTGTGTCTGTAGTGTTTTCCACAGGCCTGGATAGCTTATTGTAATGTACAAACAGATCCTGGAGCAGCCTCTCTTCAGCGTGGGCGCGAGGTCCAACTTGGAAACAAACTGAGAAAGGAATAAGAAATTGGGAAAGCTTAGACACAGCCTCATGTGTTTTTATTTAGTAGTTTAAAACAGGACATAAGATGCACATGCATTATATCGCTCTCTTTTTTCAAACTCATACATGTCAGCTACTTTCGTGCAAACCTTGCACTCATAACCAGTCTTTCCTTTGTGTATCCACATATGAAATAGCAAAGATGATCTCAAATGCATAATATTAATACTGAATATATTTGCCTCCATCCTACAATACACTCATCTGAAATGGATTTAGCTGATATGGCCACGCCACTGTTGTAGATATAGAGTGTTATCCAAGGGGGGGTGACCTCTATTATACAGGTGGCGTGCAGTTACATGAGACCGTATCTGAGAGATGAGACTAACAGGGAGGGGTGGTGGAGGAAAAAGAGGACGGATGGATCTGAATCTGAGGACATCCGCTGTGTCTCGGAACAGACGTGCTGATGGAGCGATCCGCCGAGACGTCGCATCCCTCCCTCACCCTCAACCCCTCTCTCCACCTCTGAGTCTACAGCCGCACTGATGGCTCACACAAACATTTTTAGAATCAGCTCACATAGCACTGAGGAAGACCAAACAAGGTCTGGGGATAATTAAAGAGACGAGGATCATCCCAAGGCCTTTACAGGACAATGTCCTTTGTATTCCAGTCCTTTTTTTCATATTCAACAAGACATTTCTCTTTTCTGGCCATTGTGCATCTGTGCAGGTGATTCACTGACAAGGCAATTCATCATGGCCTTTGATTTATTTAACCAGCCTTACTGATGTTTTGATATGCCTCACACTGCTGCATTTTTCAATGTCTTGGAGCATTATATGGTATACTCTATATTGTCCATTGCTTATTGTGCAAAATATTAATTATACAGAAGCAATGGGCCATTTTCATTACTTATAATTTGAGCCATGTGATTGCTGCTTGCACAGGAAGGAAAAGATCTCTGATCTCATGACGCTGGCCCTCCTCTCAGGTCCTCTGTCTCACTCAATCAAAGCTGATGGGCTCCTCTTCAGTTGCGTCAGAACTGGGATCCACAGTTTTTAAAGGATCAGGATCAATATCTTATTAAATGGATATAGTTTATTTTCCCCTCCCCCTCGTCCTCTCTTCCTGGTTCCATCTGAATCTGTCTGACATGTGCAGACACAGGACAACCTTGAGACGTCATTATGTTTTCAGATGAGAGGAACTTACATGGGTACCTTTGTTTCATCACATCAGCTCAGAGGAATGTCTGTTGAATGCAGGTGATATTGAATAAAGAGAGATGCTCCAGTGGATACTTAAGCAGCCTCGCAACTAATGGGTTTAGATGGGGGAGCTGGCAGGGTGTCCTGACTTTGACGCTGTATCGGTCAGACATTAATGTGTACAGAAAGTAACTGTCGAAGGGATTTACTTCTGCACTCTTCAGGACACTATTGTGAATACTAGTGGTGCAGGCTTTGGTGTCAACACTTAGAATAGAGATAATTCACTTTTTATAGAGAAACTTTCCATCTGACTAGGCCAGTTGCTCTACATTATGTATTTTTCTTTTGTGAAGATATTCAGTTTATCCTCTTTTTAAATGACTAGGACAGTGTCTGTTGTAAAGCCTGCCTGTTTGGAATCAGCTGTCCTCTCTTCCTGTGTTTAAGCTGCTGAGCTACTTCATAATTATTCATTGTCATTAGTGAGTCCTCCTCAAACAGTTCTACAATATACTGTCACTTTTTATTGTTTGTGTGCTGGACGTTGTATGCAGAGCTTTTTATAAACAGTCTATTGTGCAGAGTGAAAGTTTGAAAACATTATGTTCATCCTACCTGGTTTATCCGCAGTGAAGATTTTATCATCAATGTTTTTCCTAAAATGAAACTGAATTTGCTTTATACTGTTCATGTGTGTGGCTTGTATGTACATTTGAATAATTTGAACTGCTGTTGTTTTTCATACATTGCATGTCGGCTATTTCATAAGTCTGTTATCTTCAGACCCAAGTTAATAACAAAAGCTCTAATTTAGCTCCGTGTAAAACACTGCAGCAAAAAACACAAATGTGAAACACACGTCTTTTACTTTGAAGACAATTTGATGAAGAGGAAATGATTCTTTGAATGGAGATTAGCACCCACAACTCCCATGAATTCTTGTTTCAACTAAATGGTGAAATAAAAATATTCAGATTAGCAAAATGATCTGGCAGGAAATTTGTCGACCACCATAGAATAAGACATGTTGAACTCGCACTATTTATTTATGTTCAAAAATACAGAAAAGTTCAAATCTGGTAGATTATAGTTCTTGTAATATCTATTTGCAAGTGCTTTTAGTTTTGTAAAGCACAAGCCTAATACTTCCAACCTGGTTGGTTATGTGTCAGAGCTACCAGGCCTAGTTCTGTCCAGGTTTGCTCAATGCACCCTCAAAGGCCAAAAATACACAAGCAGCAAATATTTTTAAAAAATGTATTGAGAGGAATACTGCTCCTGTACCAGGCCATCAAAGCTTGTTACCAGGTCACTAAGCAGCCAAGGCTATCTATTAAAAATAAATGAAAACAAAATTATTCTTTGTGTCTTGAACATTATGTTTTTGTCAGAGATTCTATTATTCATCTTGTCAGATAAGCTTTCAGTAAAAAATATTCGCCCTTCGAGTGAATAATGGGAATGTAGCTTCATTATTGAGTCTAGAAAAATGTTTGGGGCTAAGGTGGAGGGTAGAATCTTATTTATCTTTTTTTTTT